TCACGGAAAAGACTTTAATTGGTTCGCTCAAAGTTTCGTTAACCGTTTATCCGATGATTTTCTTACTAGTTCTGTGTATACGTGATTATCTTACTAGTTCTGTGTATCCGTCACCTCCTCTATTATTACAGCCGAATTCTGTCTGTCACTACTGCCATGTTACGTTGAGCCGCGAGCTGTCAGCGCTCGATTTTTTTTTTTTCATAAAAAATTACAAACGAATGTTAGCTGAAAACGTTAAAACGCAGAAAAAGTAAAAAAAGGCTTTTTAAATATTTTTAAATATTCCACAGGTTACATATTTAATCGTTACGTGAAAATAGAACTTTTTATACATTTCCTGATTCCAAATTTTCCCAAAAATTTCCTCGGATTTTGCAAAATTAAAATAACTCGAAATATATCAATGGTATTATCGTTTATTTTACGTGTAAAACTAATAAGAGATATGCGCACGCAACGAGCTTAATAAAAATTATTTTAATATTTGATTTGGGAAAATTAATCAGAGAGAGAGAGAGAGAGAGAGAGAGAGAGAGAGAGAGAGAGAGAGAGAAATTAATGAAGTTTAAATAATAAACCGTTTCATTAATTCTGTGAGAGGAGACGGTTCCTGAATAATGCGTATGCACGAGCGCCGTATAAAACGGAAACGTCGTCGGTGTAATTATTTGCGTAGTGAATATTTGTTGACCAAACGATTGTTTGTGTTAATAACGTAAAAATAACGTGAGCATTAATAAATGCTCAAACAGGCCCCTCCTCTGACGACAATACTGCGCGCGCGACGATGCGATACGCCACGATGCGGCGTGATCCGAGCGCGTTCGTTACAATCAATCACTCTATTTATATCGGTAATTAATTTATGACGCTTCGTAATTGCTGTATCTTGCCAGCCAAATATAATGTTGCGGCTTTTAATTGATATCTAAACGTGTGTCCGTTCGTTCGGCACGAATAACACCATGCGAACGTTAAATTTCACGTGGACCGCTTTACTGCCACGTTAAACTGAATAGAGAAAGCCTCTACCATGTTGTAAAGTGTCGAGCAGAAAAGTCCTGCATCATTTTTTAAACTCCGTCACGATAATTGTTGAGATATTAATGAATGAAAATTGGTCCATCAACGCGCGCAATGCGGTAGGATGTACTATGTAGTGCAGTCTGAAGAGACATTCTTTGGATTCTTCTTTTGATTTCCTAGTAACAGAAAACATAGATGTGCGGAGAGATCACGCAGGATCGCACTGCTAGCGATGTACCTCCACCTTTCGCTGTTATCCGATTTCCATCGCTGCTATGAAACAGCTAAGAAGCCCAAAATGTCCTTCTGCAGACTGCTTGCAGAGTTCATGTCGCTACCTACACTCACACTCGGCCATTTTCTTTCATTAATACCTCCATAATTACCATGAAGGAGGCTTGCAGATAACTTTTCCATTCAGCTTAACGAGTTTCACATTAACGCTCTCCGACACCTAAATTCAAACATCCTGCATATATACATAATCGCGTATCTCTCACGTTGCCGCTTGCACAAGGGCGTCGGAATAATCCCCACGGTGCCTCGTAAATGCACTCCGTTGCTTCGCATCAGCTGTTGTCACGCAGTTGTCGCCTGAACGTGGGTTGACATGTCGAGGCACCAGTGGTTACGGCCGCGTCATGGTCAGACGTGACGTATGTTTGCGCCGTGACGACGAGGGCGTGGGTGTTCGTGTAGATCAATGGGTCAAAAGCACGGCGTCTTACGAAATCCAATAACCGATATGCTCTTTAATGATAATACGGTATCATGCGCGCGCATGAACGGAAGAACAGAAAGAACGCGTGATTAATAAATTTTGAGAGAGAGAAAGATGGAGAGGAACGTCCGCGCGAGTATTGGCGGGACCGACGACCGACCGGCCGTTTCGCATGGAAAAATCGTGCGGTTGCCGTGCCTTGTTTTTTCCGCCGGCTTTAAAATGACACATTAAATATGACGCATGGGGGACGCGCGCGATGCCGGGATTTACTACGTCGGGGGTACGCGCGTCGCGAGCGGCGCGAGCGGCGTGAGCGGCGCGACCCTCCGGAATATTCGGCTGCAGACTGTTATTGTGTGCCGAACGGTTGGCTTTTAGCGATGCGCTAGTTTCCGGAACGCGACACGATAATGATCGACGGTATCGGTATAGATTTTCATCGAATCGGCCGGCCGGGAAGCGTGATACAATTCGGCTTCAGTCGCTCAGCCGTGGAACGTCCGCGTTGCCAGAGGATTATTCTCTATTATCGGCACGGCGCATATTGCGACGATCATAAAATCGGGGACGCAATAGCCGACGGCTATATAATCGAGAACGCACTCACCCGCCATTATCGTTTGCGTACATTATAACTCACACGCGCGGAGTTACAAACACGCGCGTGCACGCGCGGATTAATCCCCGTGAATTCCTTTCCGCGTGGCGACCTGAATTTTAAGCATGGCCGTGTGCTTTCGCGAGGATACCGCGGAATCGGCCGCGCGCGCTCCATCCCAAACTGCGTTTCCCGCGCATTATCCAACAACGACAAATTAATGTGTTGTAGAAGGAAGAAGTCCGGCATAATCAGGTTAATCTGCGCGAAGAAAAAAGTTTTTATTACAACGAAAAATACGCGCGCTCACGCTGCGGAGGATGTTCCGCTCGGGCCGGAAAACCAATTCCGCGTCGCTATTTTTGCAACTCGTTAACGGAAGCGTACTCTGTGTGTATTTCTCATTACGCAGCGTGGTGTAACTCGCGGCACGAAGGATCGCGATGTGTCTAATTTGAAATTTAGCAGCATCTCTCGCGCGCGAGAGCTAACTGAGACGTGAATATTATGGGCGGATGTTATGGCGTTCCTTAAATATTGAGAGATATACGACGCCTGTGCGGAGTTTGACGCAGCCCGAGAGATCCTTAGGTTAGTTTGCGCGGGCGCACGCGAAATAGTACGTTCTTGCTCGGCAAAAGTAAAACTGCTCGTTTCGGACGTTATATGTACACACACATACACGTACGTTCCGTGACGTACGAGAGCGCGCCGCGAAACATAAAATATTAGTGCACGCGTTACTTTTCAATTTTATCTTATACGCTCTATATTGGAGGCCGTGCGCGGGAGTAAGCCGCGCTATTTCCGCGAGACGTCCGGCAGTTTTATTTATACCGCGCGCGATGTTCGGACAAGCCGTTATTAATGCCAAAAATACCGCGCGTCGAGCGCGCTTCATTTCCTCGGCGTAAGGTCGCGCCTTCTCCTGGCCTTTCGCGAGTACACATTTACGATTGCGAATCCAACTAACAGTCGGCGAGAGCCCTTCAAAACAGTCTCACGATCTCGCGTGTGCATCTCAACATATACGTCCATGTAACTTCGGACTTCATTACCTAAACTGGGTGCAACCGTCCGCCTTTACTTTCGCGACTGCTGCCTTTCGCGCATCGCCGATGTAATTAGCTAATTAGCAATCCACTTAATTATTGCTCAACTAGCGACGGGAGTGATTAAAAATTCTCGAGCGCGCCCCATTTCCCCATTCCTTCCTCTCTCGTGTTTTCTCTCTACAAAATACTAGAGGTTTCCTTGCTTATACTCGTCGTCGGCGCAATAATTGTAAGTGTGCCCCACGCTCGCGTGTTTTAAAGCGGAATGCGCCGTTCGTTATCCCGCCGGCCGCTGTAAATAAAAAATGGGGCCGGTTGCGAGCACGCCGGGTCGATATGTGTCGGCCACCGCCACCGCTGCCGCCGCCGCCCTGAAAGAACAAACGAATTTCGAGGAGGATAGTCGCGATGCATATTTAATAAAGGGAATCCCCTCGCTCGCGCCGGAGAAGATGAAGCGGCGCGTCGGATGTTAAACGCAGCTGCGCATCGAAAGTTCGCCATGAATAATTCCGTTTGGCTCGTTTAGCACGCTGCCAACGCGGCCCAACGTCATTCGGTCCGGCCTGACCACGTAATTGACCTTGCATCTCGCAACTTTATTCACTGCCGTGCACCTCGGCTACGAGAAAACATTCCATTGCGATCGACCCGAATTCGAGCAGCGGAGAGACACGGCACCTCTTCTTTCATCTTTCCTCTTCCCGCCGTCTCTGAAATGTCAAGTGAAAGTTCGAGTAGGATGTCTATGTCACGGCTGTTATAACACGGATATTTGGTATAGCTAAGTTCGATGGTCTTTGTTAAAGCAAAAAATACAGTATAAAATACTTTGTTAAAGCATAAAATACTTAGCAAATACAGACAAGGCAGGATTGCTCGGTCCGAGCAATCGGACGACGGAATCCGCGATAGGCAGATGTGATGTGCATTTAAGATGTGTGAACAGGCTCTCTGCTAATATACAATTAAAGCGAGGGAAGTAAGGCCTATAGGAGCCATTCGCAGATGTCCAGCGCGAAGTTGAATTTATACTGTGGGAAGATAATAATGTTTAGCGGTATCAAATGCACGTGATTAGTGATCTCTGATCTGTCATACGCGACCCACTCATATTCTCTCACATCAAACCGTCTCTTTGTCCCAATTATTATTAATACTATTAATACCCATTTTCCATTTCAATTAATCGTGCATGCATTTGATTCATTGTGAATGTCGTGAAAAAATGTTGTTTACGTCCTTTTGATCTCGTGTGAATTGCTGTCCAATTATTCGGCACTCCACGAGTCAGCGGAATTTTGCGTTGTTATTTTCCCTGACTACGCGCGTAACTCTCGCGCGTAAGGGTGGTCGTCACGCCTGTCACGAAATACTTTCGTGCGACTTGCCGTATTTGCTTGTTTTTTGGCGAGAATGAGAGAAGCGCGTTTTCTCTCTCTTTCTCCCTCTCTCACGTTGGATTACGAGAAATTTGAACACACGCCACAAATATTCGAAAGAACCATTCGGCAGCGGAAACAATTCGGCAATGCGCGTTCCCCACGTCGGCCAAACATGACGCTATATTTTTCAGATGATGTGATCGTTTCAGGATGGTCCAGCCTCCGCCTTGCCGTTGACCCAGACTCTGTCGAACATTTATGGCCGCAGGTCGGCCAGTCCCGATGTTCCAGGCCCCGTAGACGAGACTCAGGTTCGTAAATGTGCAAATTGTGAAAGTAAATTACAGCTCTTTGGGAACGCACCCATTTAACGCGACTTCTTTCTCTATTTCTCTCTCGGCTCGAACTTTGCTTCGCTAAAATCAATTCGCGCGAAAGAGAAACAAACGACCTCGTAACAAACCCGTAATACGATTAAAAAATGTAACGACGTGTTTAACATTAACCAAGTGTGAAGCACGGTATGCACTTTCGGAGCGAGCTGTTTTTCCACCTCGAGGCACCGTCCGAGAGCTGTTTTAATTAATTAACGGTCATGGAACCGCTGATGCCAGTTTCGTGTAGAATTCGCGAATGGGAGCGGTATAGAAGGTTGGGCGGCAAGGGAGGAGAGAGAAAGAGAGAGAGGAACGGTAGAACGTATCGTATCGATCGGTGCATGTGAAAGTAAGAAATTTGTAACGGAAGCTCGTCGGCAGCTCTGACGCGGCTAGGTGATGATTGTCCGCGGAATTACGACGGTAAGCCCGTTCTCTGTAGCTGAGCATACACCTGCGTGAAGATCCCTGGCTTACCAGCTCACTTACTCGGAAGATTCGTGGCGGCACGGTTCAGAACTTGCTCACAACCTCAAACTATTACGTGCGAGTTTGCTCGTACGTGTCGATAACGCGGATTTCCACTACAAAGCCTCAAACTTAACTCTTTTTGTTTCTTTAGACCTGGAGACGTTGAATTTCCAGCAGAAGTCTTTGACTTCTCGTTCTCGTATCGCGAAGCCCTTCGCTTCCCTTCGTCGCGAGATATTGATAAACGTTGAATTAAACGTAGGCGGAGGATAATGAGGGGAGGTAAACGTAATAGTTTGGGGTCGTACGTTTAACTTATGAATACATTGACGAGCTCTCTCAATTAGAGTGACATTTCATCCGCAAAGTTTCCCCTTGGCTTAATTATTTCCATCAGAGACACATCTCTCATACTAATTTTGGACTCATGCAGGCCAAATTTCACATAGCCGGCGAATAGACTAGTAAAGAGAAACGAGGGAATCACTTTATACGGTCTCGCAACTGGTCTTATTCAGCGTGAGTCTGAAGCATCACAGGTCTGAGGTGAATCTCGACGTGAGCGCGTCTAGCTTTAAGGGTCCCTAATGCTGGTTTTAAACTCTCATAAGGGTCTTAAGCTCTAATGGCTGCTCTCGAGCATCCGCCATCAACCCTAGTTCAAAAGAGACACGCGGGAAGTATCCTCGCGAGCGTGTCCTCTCCCTGTTTCTCTTTCCTCTCTCTCACTCGCTCGATACAACGTACGAATACATAGATTCTTGCCGCTGTAACGGACGTTCCGGCAGCTGTGCCAGTTGAATTTTGAAACGGAACAATAACGTGTGGTGTTTTATATAAATATCGAAATGTAATACCAACTCGCAGCACACGAGAATAACATCAAATGGCCCGATTCGAGAAATTTTATTTCCGCCGCGCAATCGAGTGTAACCCCGGGTGCATTTACATGTGCGCCGTGCGGGAACACGCCACTGAAAAATTCTGCACGTCGCTGGTGACGGCGGCGGCGGCGGCGGCGACGAGGGACGGCAGCGGCCGAATTTTTATTACCGCTTAAATCTATTCCACTTAAATCGCCATGCCGTAGTTCCCGTTACCGTGCTTGTCCGTACTCCGTCGAGTAGCAGCCGGCTAAACGAATCGTTCTCAGCATGAAAATAAAAATGTCGATTTAATGCATATCTATCGCGCGTCTCTCGTCGTTCCGCGGCAAATCGGAATGAATATGTGCGCCACGTACGTAAATCCCGGCGAATGAATACTCGATGAATTGGGTTATTGCCGGCGCTGTCAACAATTTTTGAGCTGGCGCGAAATGATTTTTACCGGGGGGTTTCCCGTTCAAATATTACTTCCAACGGTAATACCGTCGGCGAAGAATCTAAAGTTGGCGAAATTCGTTGATTCGATCAATTACACAGCTCGCGATCACATTCTATGCTTTTGCGTGGCGCAAACAGGCGGCTCGTTGTACCGCTCTTCTATTATTCCCGAAAAAATGGAATTTTTCTCTCTCTGTTCACGTCACAATTAGAACGACAATTGGAGAGATTATGCAAAGTAGCTAATTAATCGGGATCAGCGGGGCGCGATTCACGCCTTTCCGCGGCTGCAACCGCCCTTTTTCTTTTTTCCTTCCGCGTGACGCGCTTGCAATTACATTGATGTGAGTCGCTGCCGAAGTACCGCACTCCCTCATCCTTCCTTCCATCCTCTAAAGCCGCTGCTCTAAAGAAGCTTAGCTCGGCGCTTAAAGCTGAAGAGGGCATTCGTGCGTCGGAGCTTCTTGCCGAAAACGCGCGGCTTCATCCCGGTCGGCTGTAAACGTAGGAATTAATTCGCTTTACGTCAACGGCAGGTTGTAATTTCGCGGACGGCCCCTTGGTATCCTCGCTGTCTACGGCGAGGCCTCGACCACGCAATTCTTCGCTTCGTTTCAGAACACGATCCGTGCTTCTCGATTATCTCCTCACGTTCTTCCCATCGAGTCCGAGGTTCCTTGAAGCTGCGGGACCGCGCGCGCGCGCGCGGCATTGTACCGCGGCATTGTGCTGGTAATGGACATCCGATTCGCGGAATAGAACGGCCACGAAGGCCTAGGTTAGAAAAGACTCGCATAGACCTGCGCATGACGGGTAATTAACCCGCACGAGGATATTTCGCGTATTGTTGCGCTCGCGAGAGTAACTCGCCGCACAAATCTCGATAGCAAGGTAGCTCAACGCCGCGGAGCGACCGACCGGATGATAAATACAACAATCGCCGTCTCGTCGGTAAATCCTCCGGGCATTTCCAAATCGCGATGACTTTACGAGGCCGTGTGTTAACTGGCGGGCCAAGCTGCCAGCGATCGAACAATTATCGTTGCTGTTGTATGCTGGCGACATGGCGGCGGCAACGACCGCGACGATTCAATTTGTAAATTATATCGAAAATCAGCATGCCCATCATAATCAATGCCGTTTTGCGGCCCGTCTATTTACGCACAAGCCGCGGCGGCTGCTTGGATCGAACGCATGGACCCGGCCTATGTGGTGGACGGCCAGATGTATAATGAATTCCGTTTGATTTGGGGAACCTGATTAACTCACGAGAATAGCACGTCGGTTGGAGGTTTGTTTAATCCATCCGTGATCGAAGCGTCGGCACGGTACGCTATTGCGAGCGCGGACAAATATCCATTAACGGAATTTTATTATTGATCGCTGTTTAATCAAGCCGCGGGAACGCGCTCGCGCCGTCGTTTTCCATCCGCCGATGGTTTCGTTAATTCGTTAGGAATTTATTAGGTATTTATTAGGGAATATTGTAGAGTGACACACATATGCATGTCGTACATCATAGATGGATGTGACTGTTTCGAACGAGGTCATAATGTCGAACGCGAGCCACTACCCAAGTCGAAATCTCGATTTTACGTATTATATACCTTAATATTCTATTGAATATCTGCTTTGAGACTCTGAAACCTACAATATCCTCTTTTCATTCGATTTGATATCAACTTTACCAAGTTCTTGGTAAGCTAACTAACAGTTAAATCATATATCTGTCTTTATCTAATTTAAAGAAAAAACAAAGACGTATGATTTAATTATATTGGTTAACTTATTGGTCAAACTAGGTTGGACAATTCGATCCTTAACCTACTGACTTTACTGAGAGGTCTAGAATCTACAAGTTTTGTGCATCTTCTGCTGCTTAGAGACGTTAAGTAATACTTTAGTTTCCGTGTGTATTAAACATACATTACTTTTTGGGAATATACAAGTGTTGAGAAGTTTGGGTCGAAAAAGTAGAGCTAAAATTTCGTTTCGTATAATTTGTAATAATTTCACGGACGACACAATTGGAAACGTACGCGCGTCCGCGCGCACATAGAGTCACGTCTTTCCTCAGAGTTAAAACTCGTCGTGAAGAAGAGAGAGCACGCGCGATTGCGATGTGACCGCGAGACTACAAATTATCGCCTGTCCAAAATGCGATTTCTAGGAATTGCTCGTGGCGACCCTCGCGGTGTGAAATTTAATCAAGCGAAAATTTAATCAGGTCGGTACGTAAATTTGCACGCCGCGGACACAATCTCACTGGTGGCGTCAATCTCGGACACTGTGGCGTTACCATTGTCTGAGAACAACATTTAACGCAACCGCGTGAACGTTTTGAAGCGGAATTGATGACGGTTGTCGGGCCGAGCCGCGCGAAGTAAATGGCGCGACTCTCATTAAATTTACAAGCAGCACGTGTGACGGTAGTTAATCACCTGAGTTCTTCATTTCGAATACGCGCGGAAAAAACTCGGCTCCAGGGGAGAGAAACCTCGAGCTGAGTCGTCCAATCGCGAAGACGCGCTTTAGAGTCGGAATTAGACGGCGACGCCTTCGTTGGGAGCATCGGAACGCTATTGATACCAGTGTCGAGTCGCTTTTACGGCAGTAAGACCGACATCCTCCACGTCGAGACCGAGAGTCAATTGTTCCCGAAAAGCGCTGAAGCTCGTTCGCGATCGAACGCGACTGTCCGCGTTGCCTCCGATAGAACGCCGCTAATTACGATCGCGCGGTCACCGATGTGATCGTAGATTTTCGAAAAAATTGCTGATGGAGGCGGGAGTCTTATTTCTTTAAATACACAACATCAAAGAAAGTGCGCGAAAAAACCTGTGAGGTGTGTGCGTAGAACTGGCATGATAGGTCAATGCGAATTTGAATAGTGAGATTACGTGTGCATGTGTGTGTGCGCATCTTCTATAAAATTTATGAGGTCGAAGCTGTTTTCCCAAGTTTACGAGACTAAAAGCATCTTTAAAATTTATGAAGTTAAAATTAACGGCGTCGACTCTTCAAAGTGTATTTACATTAATTTCGCCGGAATAGAGCGTGCGGGCAATTTTCGCGCTCTGAGAAAGAACTTCCAATATTCCGAGTCATAAAAAGCAAAGAAAGAAAAAGTCTATTAATTGACACGGTAACGAGTAGCAGACCTCGCCAGAGCAATCATATTTTTCCCGGAGAATTCAGCTCGATTTAGTGGCGGAAGGGGAAACGGCGTGGGACGAAACAACCACGAGGAAAAATTTATAAAGCTGCAGCTTCTGCGTGAGAGCATTGTAGCAAAAGTAAAGAAGAAAAAAATAAATAAATCCACGACTTCCGGTTGAGCGAGCCCGACCGGTATCTGTCGTTTTGAGAGCTCCGCTCGTTCTTCATCGGTCGGCGGAAAAACGAGGGGTCGCGTGTCGCGCGTTTGTCAAGCGCTTTTTCGAAAGAACCGCGATATCGAAAAGAACCGCGACGTCACGGCACGCGGGAATAAATGATGATGCGGTGATGTAGCGCCGAGGGTTACGTCAAAGGTGCGTTAGTGCGGAATAGACTGTTGATGGAGATTGCTCCGAGCTCGGAAGTCTAAGAGCCGCTTCTTTGCTCTCTCGCGCCCGCGGTTTCTCCGTAAACAATACGCCGCGATGTTTGGTATTCTTGGAAGCCCGCAGGCTCTTCAATCACTTTGAAATTTTCCTTCTTCTGCACCGCGCGAATCACCGCCGCGGTATCGCGCATTGCGCCTAAACATTATCTATTTTCGCGCGAACTTCCGCCGAAGAGCACAGCAGCACGTTGTGAGGTGCCTGTATTAAACCCGAAACGTCTTGATACCGAATCGTTGATTATAAAGTATGATGAAAGCGACAGCTTTCACATGAACAGTCACAAAGTGAGAGTGATAGGAAATTCACAATATCTTTGTTTCCAAACGACCGAATGCTTGGAAAAGTAAGAGCGATAGTCTTCGCACTTCCCGAGTCGAGATTTAGTTCTACCTTGGATCCAAACTTTCTGACATATGTATATCCTGAAGGATCAGTGTATGTTTGATATATATAAAAACTGAAGCCTTATTTAACGCCTCTAAATGGCAGAAACTGCACGAAATGCCATTTGAAGGTTTTAAAGAGGATTTTTCAGTCAGTGTTACTAAATAAAATCGAATAAAAAAAAGCTAATGACTTCATAGTATCAAAGTAGGCGTTAAATAGAATATTGAGTAAGTAGGATTAAAATTTCGACTTGGGTTAAAGAGGCAAATTACATAATTCCGGCATAAAACATAATAATACGGGAATTTATTTGGATAAAATTAAATGAACATGTTTGAACCTTAATTGCATATTTAATCAATGTATTTTTATAAAAAGAATTATTTAATTGTCCTTTGTGCAGAAATTTTAAACAATGTTTCTGCATCATTGAATATTTAATTTATTTTAATAAAGAAATTAATATTTACTTTTGGTTATAATTTACTTGTTTTATTTTATAAAGAAGAATGTTAAAATGAAAATAAAAATTCTGTCTCGAGAAACTGTAACTACAATACTATTTTATAAGAAATTTTTTTCATTTTCTTAATTGGAGTATTTGTACAAACGTAAATCAGAGTGGCTTGCAAGAACTGCAGGCAATAAATACTATCATCTCCGCACGAAAAATAATTCTGAACTTTTTTTTATCTAAATACAAATACTATTTAATTACATGTATAAAGTTGAAACATACTCATTTAGTAAATTTCTCTAAATAAATTTCTAAATATACTATTGCTTTTTTGGCCTGAAAGGTAATGTGCCCTCTTTTGAAAGCAAGTCCCACGTTGTGCCCAGCACATTTGACGAACTTAATCACTTGTATGTTGAGGTAAAAACAAAAAATGCGAGACTAAAGTAGTTTTCGTATAATCGTTGGAGGTTATTGAGAGAGCGGCTAATGAAGCGATTAATGCGATTAACACGCTTCGCTAGACACACGGCACTTTGAATATTATTGTCGATACCGCGGCGGCACGATTCTCGGCGCATTAATGCGCATTCGATTGCAACGTCATTGTCAGCGCCTTTATTCGTGTTCGTAGAATGCGACAATAATGGCCGGCGCGATTGTCGGGGGAATAAAGCGCGCGTGGAGGAATAAGGGTGGAATATAGAGACAGTCCGATACTTATGACACGCTTTCAGAACACGAGAGGCGAGGGAAAAGTAGGATTTGATTCGTGACATATATCCACGACGTTTCTCTTCTCCATTGGTATCGATCCCCGACGATGGGCGCGCCCGCGATACTCGATTGAAAGCGCTCGTTCGAGCAGCCCCGACAAAAAGCGGCTGGCGGCTTAAACGAATCGCGAAAATTCACCTCAAAGCTCGAAACCCGCGTAAAAGTTCGAACGTTAATTGAAAAGTTCGGCTCGCGCGATTGAAAACGTTCGAAGTAATTATTAAATCATGTACAAATGGAGGATTCATCCCCTGCGTCGAGGGAGCGAGTTAAATCTTTCTCGGCAATTGTTCCATTGAGAGAAGGTTTGGCTCTGCAACATTCTGACGGGCATAGATAGAGGGAGCGGAATAGAGTAGAGGGAAAGCTATAATTATAAGTAATAATAGCGAAAATTGTATTTTCTAGAAAGTTTTGAATATAAATATATAATTCTACATCCCTCGTAATAGAGGGAGAGAGAGAGAGAGAGCGCAGAGGAAAAATTACATTCAAACATATCGAAATTAAGTATTTAAATATGCATTGGGTAACGCTCTCGGATGTGTTTTTGTATGAAAAATTCTCGGAACGGTTTTTATAATTCACGAGGCGCAGGTAGCAAATTTTTTACACGTATCTCTATAGGTTCCCTTCCTGCCCGCTTTGTCAACCCTTTTTCTTTTAATATAATATAGCAGCTCTAGCTCAGTTGAAATTTGCGCAGCGAGCGTCGAGTTGACTTTGATGGACAGCGCGCATTGAAAAATATATATTCTCGAAATATATCGCACTCCCTCTCCCACCTTCCCCCTAGACTATTTTGCGCGATGATAGACTGGGTGTCGATCGTACGTCACTCAAGACGTCGATTCAGTGATTACATGTTCACTGTGCCGGCCAAAATACGAAAACGTAGAGGAGCAAAGCGACACACAAGCTCGCCGGATACGCCCAACGAGCACGCTGCTAATAATGCGATTTCGCGTAATTCCGAAAACGCCGGCGGGGGTATTTGCGGATGCTGCCGCCGCCGCCGCCGCCGCCGCCGCTGCTACTGTTGGAATCACGTAAGTCCTAGCAAACACCGTAAGATAGGATTAGACCTCGCAACAGCGAGGGGAGAAAGGAGGAACTTCGCGTTCGGAGCGAGGAAAGATTTGGGAGTTTTGGAGATCAATGTCGAGAGAAGATCGATGAGAGACGAGAGCTTCGCGAATTTCTCAACGTTCCGCGACCGCGTCTGATAATAAGAACGAGCCGATATTTGTATGCTGACTCGAGCGTATTGTTATCCATGTAGCGAGAAATTGGCGTTTCCGCTTTACGACTTTCGGTGCGAGTGGGGCCGATAATAACGTGCGCGACGGAATCACTTCCCTGTTGCAGAAGACGAGATACGATAACACGGGAGTGGAAGAACAGCTGCCACCGCCGCCGTCGCCACCCCAACTGAAAGAGGCGGCTCAGCTGGATGGGGTCCCCAGACCGAACTCGGTGGACCGTATTCTTCACCCCGACGGCACTCAGCACATCGGCCACGAGGCGCTCAACAAGGTAAGTGTACAGCCATTTCAGCACACACATGTTTGCAGCATTGTACATAGTGTTACATTCGTCAATCCAATGAACATACGAAAAAAAGAATTTGATTGCGGTGAAAAGTGACAGAATTGGTTAAAATCGGTTTCTGATGAGATATGAACGAGTCAGAAATTTCGATTGGGATTACCAGAATTTTGTTAAAGTTAACCGGAAATCCTAAGAATTTAGACTGAATTCTGGCAATCGGAATTTCTCAACCGTTTATATCTCAACGACAACTAGTTCAGCCAAACTATTCGTTTTCATGCAATATAAAAAATATTGTGTTAAATTCAACGCATTTTGCATGTCCCAACTTATCCACTCTAACATTTATATTGATTTAACGCAAAGTAAATATATAAGCAAATAACATAGATAATATATCAGAAATTAACGTAAGAATGTAACACTTGGACACTGCTGCGTTATTTTAACGCTTAGAAATTTATCAACTCAACGGAGAACAATCAAAATAATTGGCGCAACGCCAATACATTAAATTGACACGCGTTTCTCTATATTAAGAATTTAACACAAAAATTCCCACTTGGATCAATTTACAAATAGGAAATAGTCTTTTACCGCTTGCGTATACTAAAGTGAAAAAAATGGAAATTATGAGTAATACAAATCGAGTATTTGCTCGACGTAAATGAGCTCGAGGACGACGAAAAGTCCAGTTTCCGTAATAATCGCAACAGTCGAGTCTCATATTTAAATAAGGGTTGAAACGTCGGATTCACCACCCCCGCCCGCGAGAAATGACAAGCGCATGCGCTCACGAGCTCGAAATGCTCGCCACCTACGGTTCCATCCCTGAAGATACTCACCCTTACCGCGAAATCGATAGAAGCAGGCTCTCTAGTGCGGTTGGTAACGGCCTGGGAACAGACCTTCCACGTTACCGAGTGTCGTAATCGTCCAACGAACACCGGTGAGAAGTTACGCGCAGCCGATGCCGAGTATCTCGACGCGTATTCTCTTACACGTGAACCAGCAGAGCTGATTGTTCAAGCTGCTGGGACATCATAAGTAACGAAGTTCGCTCAAAACCACGGCGAACTTGGCGTCGCGGTACTGCCATACCGCTTGATCCTAATTAGATTTCGGCAACAATCATGTTGATTGCTTGAAAATTACTCGAGTTAGCGAATCACGCGTATCAATAAACTCCACTGAAATTCACCGGCATCGACTCTGTCGTGACGATTCCATCACTTGAGCTTAATCGGAGATGACCGGGAATCACAACGAACTACCACTTGGACAGTTTGGCGCGCCCTCCATCAGAGGGCAGAGACGGAGCCGCCTCGGGATTCCCGGGGCACCCGCGCGATCTCGCCACGGTCTGCCACGTGGTAAGATCGAGGTCTGTATTACCGCGTCCCCGTCGGCCGCAACACGTGGACAAAACAGTTCGGCCGCGACTTTGCAGCTCGTCGGCGCCCGTGCCGGACACGCACGAGGAACGTCTCGACTCCTCGGCCGCGGCGCCGGTCAGTGCGGTGCGTCGCGCCAACCGATCGCGTCGGGGATCGTGGGGGATGACGCATAGAGGTACGAGTGCTACTCCCGGACCGAAAGAGAGGGTGTTTCCCGCGTCATCGGGGACGCGTCCTTGGACTCGTGCGAAAAACCGAAAGGCGCTTATTGATCTATCCGTGGCACGGTTCTCGCGCGCGGGGACGCGATGTTTTTTTCCTCGCTGGCCGGTCGATAACGGGACCGGTTCGCGCGTTCGGCGCACGCGGAATATTCGCCCACGGCCGCGTGTCAGCCCGCGGATCGTGCCGCGGAATAGTGAAGTGCACGTCCGGGATGGTCGCGCGTCTAATTGCGCCCGACGGATCACCGGCCCGCGCCAGCCAGCCAGGGCCAGCGCCCGGATACATCGAGCTATACACGTTATACCGTAATTGCACGCGATCATAATAACGATAGCCTCTCGCTGGTGTATAACTAATTCGGGAATTAGGTTAATTAATTCGGCGTGCGCGCGCGGGCGTTATTGCGTCGCCGCTGACGGGCCGGGCAGGGCCGGCTCGGCCCGATGATTGCGTGCTTTTAATTACGGGAAAATACGCGCGCGAGTCCGCGCGATAACGCCCGTATCGCGTCCTTCGTGGAATGGAGATTTCAAAGACGAAATTTACGTCCGCCCGAATTTCCTAGTGAAAATTGCTGTAGGATTTTGTGAACGAGGAATAGATCGCGACTTTCCGCAGTGATTCATTATCCATTCATTTCATACATGCTGTTGAAACGCGCTCGCTGTGTTTCCAGCGAAATCTACTATGTCCCTTAGTCAGATAGACCTTCCGAGTCGAAATTTTGGCCCTGTATTAAATCTTGAATTCTATAATAGGAGCAATAGGAGCTAAGTTAGCTAAGTAGGTTTAATGCGAATGATACAATTTACTCCTGCTTTAACTCTGATAATGTCCGAAATTTTTTACTTTTTTTAGCGTCAAAATAGGTTGTATTATAGAATACTTGAGAATATCAAAATAGGTGTTGAATGGAATAGTGACGCTGAAAATACGATCAAAATTTCTATTCGAGTAGGTTAAACAGAATCAAAAGAAGTTTGATACAGATTTTGGAGTATGAAAATATTAAAGGCTGAAAATAGGGTGAAAATTTTGACTCGAGCTTACTGACAGTCTGTTCCTGGGCTATTGAAAACACATGATAAAATTCTAAAGGATTTATATGAAGAAAACAATTGCAGTATTTTCCCCATTCGTCAATACCGCGTGGTATTTTTCATACGATTTTTTCTTAACTATTGATAGCGGTGATGGCGAAAGCATCCAACGTATTTCGTGGGGGATATTGTTTCTCTTCCTTTTTTTCATTTAATTTTTCATTTAATTTTTTTCCTTTTCACCGAAAGGTTTCCGTCGAAGATTCTCACGTAGGAAATTGCGGCACGAGGAATTTGCCGGAACCTTACGAAATCCTCGGTGGATACTCCGCACACGATCGCGCATGAAATTCACCGCGTGCAACGATCGATGTGTATTGAATTTTAATTCGTTGCGTCGCCACACAGAGAACGAAGGGGATCGTTAAATATGAATTATGCAGGTGCGCACGGCGATGCGAGATACAAGTCTGCGCGCGAAAATTCAACCGGTACGCGTCCGCGGCGAGGATCGTTAATTGACGATCGCGACTTATGCGCAATTCATCACAGCAGCCGGTGGAATTCGCGGCGTTCTATCGGCTCCGTAAACGTCGATTATTAAGCGAGAGTGAACGGAAACAGTAACGCTTGCATTCCGCGATAGCGTTCTCCCGCTCTTGCCGCGCGTTCGACCGCACGATCCTCGCGTAAAAAAGGAACGAAATTCCACGATAAGCCTGATTCGCGCGCGCAGCTCGACGTGTTCTTATTCTTCCCTCGTATCGAATCGACTTCCATCTCGCACTAGGAATTCAGTTACTTCGAGACGCTCGAGATGCATTCGAATATGCGCTCGCGCAACTTTTGCAACCTAGCTTCCCGTTATCGCGGATGCATTCACGTGAAAGTACTTCTTGGTCTAGAAACTTACGCCATGCATCAGAGCACCTCGTGTTGTTTGTGCAAGGAGCGACAATCCCGATTTAGGGGCAACGCGCGTGTCTCTCTTTAGCGAATTAAACTTTGCTAAATACCGACGAGAAAGTTCATTGAAATGACCTCGCCAGGCGCATTGATATTGTTTCGCTCGGAATTTTGCAGTTGATTAACGAGGCCGCTCTATACTGCTCTATAGGTGGAAAGTCTGAAAAAGGACAGACGATACCCCGCGATTGCGAGCGCTGAAAACTCAGTTTAACTGCTCGAAACGAGGGACATCAGTTACACGAAGGTAACTGCAAACTCTACGCACGCCGGGAGGGTCATTCTAACGATATAAGTAATTTATGTCACGCGATAAATTACCTCCCATCCCCGCCGTTCGGGCTAACACGACGGATACGTTGCACGAACGGTGCGATATTATTATTTCGTCCCAGCGACGACGACCAGACACGTATTTCCCGTGACGTCTTCCGTCCCGTATCTCTTTTGCACGAGTGTCTCTCTTTCTTTCTCTCTCTCTCTCTCTCTCTGCCGCCTTTTCTTTCGTTCGTTCTTTCTTGCTGCCTCGCCCTCGTGATTTATCGACATGTTTTTTACGCGTCGAACTTTCCCGATACTGGCGGATCCGAATCAGGTGAGGGAGTATTCTGAAATAACTTCAAAATCAGCGGAAATTACGTGACTCTTCACGCGCGAGATGATTCCATCGAGGGATATTTTTTCGTTAATTTCATCGAATATAAAGAATGGGGAAATTTCTGATAGAAAATTGTCGTTACGAGGAGAAACGTTTCTCTTTGCTCGCGTGACAGGAGAATTGTTGCAAGCTGAGCGTTATCGCAAAATGACAAGCACCCGAGTATTTTTGCGAAATTTTGCCACGTGCAAGCTTGTTACGGTCAGAAATGACGCGAAAGGTGTTAACGGAGCCGAAGCGGACGTTACGGCTTTTTGTGTATATCAAAGTTGTAAGCTCCCGTTAAAATATCACAAAGGACGGCCGGAACATAACGAAACTGATGGCCTAAACTCTGGAGGATTAAGGTAGATGAGGGTCGGACACAGTCGAACATGCTCTACTTGCTCCTCGTTTCTTCTCCGCGTACAATTCCGCCGGATGCTCGTCCTCCGCGTGACCTAGGGCGACCCAGATACCGCCTCCGGTTACCCCTTTTCCTGGCGCGCTACTCGGTCAGCGAAACGTTCGACGATAAAACTCGCTTTCCCGGAGGCACGAGACCCGATTTTTAAATCGGCAAAGCTACGCACGGAATTTCGCGATGTCCTTCGAGATTATGCGCCAAGAGAGAAAAAAAGAAAGCAGCGGCCAGCAATTTCTCTAATCGTCGCACGTGAAGGCACGGTGACTGCGCGCGCAACTCGACACGCGCTTGAA